TGGCACTATTTAGACTACTTACATTGGTGCACAGTTTTAATTATATTAATGCATGTTTTACTTAAATTAGTATGTTTTATTTTTATTTATTTCATTGTGACTTTATGTTATTTATCTCATTGTGACTTTATGTTATTTATTGTGATATTTTAACTGCATTATTTTATTAATGTTATTTGTTAATTTTATACTGTATGGCTGTCCAGAAAGCATGCTGGTAACGGGCGGTTTTAAACCAATTTGATAAATTAAAAAATAAGCAAGTCAGAGAGGCGAACAAGGTTTCTGCCTCCTCCAGAGGTTCCTCCTGTTCAGGAGAGGACGAGCGGGCTGGCACAATCAAACCCAGCCAGCTTGAGGGAGAGGCCCCCAGTGCCCGCGCTCTCAAACAAGCGAGCCACTGGTGTGCTGAGATACTGCTGGTCCTCCCTGCTGGCTGGAGCTAACGCCCAGGCCTGGGAGACAAAAGCGCTGGATCAGTGTGGGCTGACAGTGTCTCATCGGTTGCCCTGGGCTGAGCTGGGGAGAAATCTTGCCAGGACAGTGGTAGGAGCACATATACAGGCGATATAACTGCATGAGAGATGATGGGGTCAGGCCACGAAGGAATCACAGAACAACATGCAGACTTGCCCCATCCCCAAATTCTTCCCAAGTCGGCCGTTTTCAAGCTGTCTTGCTCCATCACCGCTGATATCTTCAGCAGTGACCCTGTCCTGTTGCCCCTTCTTCTTGCCTGTGTTGCAGCTTTAAAAAATGTAAACATAGGAATGTGGTGATGGCTTGAAGAGCTTTCCCAACAGATATCAAAGGGACGGAAAGTCAATAGCGGAGCCAAGGGCCTTCTGCAGCAGGATAGCAAGAGTGGGCTTCACAGTGCTGGGAAAGGTCCCCATTTTGAGATTCGCCCCAGGGTGTGAGCCAGATAAGGCCTGATTCTGCAGAAAAACGGTCTCCGTGCACAAAGTACGCAGAATGAGAAAAACACCTTCCCTTTTAATCACATTTTACAGGAATGTAAACAGGCGCCAGCACAGCCTTGTCTTTCAGGGTCATGGAACCGCCTCCTTCCGAAACCCATGTATGGGCACATCCGCAGCCGAGCCGAGGGGGACTCCTTCTCCTCCTCCTGTTTGCAGGAGGAACTGCCTGTAGAAAACAGGGTTGTTCAAATATCAAGAGAGGGCCAAGGCAGCCCTCTGGTGGGCCAGTCCTCTTCTGGGCTCCGTTGGAGGTGGCCTATGTTAAGAGGAGAAAGCAGCACCCCTGTGGCTGCTGAGTGCAAAGCGGGGAATGTGTCACCCGCCGCCGCCCATGCCTTTGGCCTGACCCAGAAGTGAAGGGGAGATGCCCTGACGCGGGTCTCCTCCTCAGCTTTGAAGGCGGCTGCGTGGCCCCCGGGATGGCCGGGCGGTGCTTCTGCATCAGGATGATTTGGAAATCATCCAAATCCCCCTCGTGAGGCAACAAGGGGACATGGCAGCCGGCTGAGTGGTGACCGTGACGTCGCGCTCTCCAGACCACGTACGGATCCGTCTGGGTGCTCTCAGGAAGTGGCAAAATGGGGAGAGCAACACGGCAACTGAGTCACTCCAGGCGGTTGTGTTGTCCGCGGGAGAGGACCTGGGCTGGTGAGTGGGAGGCAGTGGCCACGCCTTTGGGTGATAAAAAAGGTGGGCGACCCCAACGGGGTGCTTGCAGCTGCAAGGCTGCTGGGAGCTGCGCTTCTCCCTCCAAGCAACGTTAGCCTCGTCATCGTGTCTTTGCTAAGGATCTTTCTTGAGACATTTGAGCCTCTGAGCATACACAAAGTGCCGAACCCTTTCCACTTGAAATTGGACAGAGCACCTTCACAGCCACCCTTGGCAAGCTCAGAAGCATTTCAAAGGAAAACTGACGCTGCGGCAAACCCCAAATGGCCAGTGGCAGTGGGGGGAGCAGGGGGGAGCCCCGGTGCCCCCTCAGCAGGCCCACCCTGGGATGCCTTCGGAGGATCGGGGGTCAAGGAGGCCCCCTGCCCGCGATGTCCCTGGTTGTCTGAGGGGCCCACCATGCAAAGGGTGGCTTACAGGCTCACCCGGTGGCGTGGCGTGAACCCCCTTACCCGCACCTGAGGAACCGCGCCTTCCAAGCCCTGAACCCGCGGGCCTGACATCGGGGGAAAGGGACCAGCCGGGCTCCCCCTGGCGGCTGCCAAGAGCTCCTCGCCAACGCAGAGCTGGACAAGGATGGGCAGAGCTGGCCCTGGGAGGCTGCAGCTTCTCCGCCCCGGTCTGCGTCTGACGGGGACTCGGGGGCAGCCTGGCGCTTTCCAGATCGCTGGACTCTGGGGATGATGGGTATCGCAGTCCAGCACCAGGCGTCCTTCGGCCTCTCTTAACCGTGCTCCCTCCAGATGCTCTGGCCTCCAGGACCCAGCATCCCCGACCCTGCCGGCTGCGGCGAGAAGTCAGTGAACGCGCGTGGCGGGGCGCGGGCGGGTCAGGCTGGGTCCGAGGCAGGCGGGGACAGTGGAACCGATCCGAAAGCGTGGCCGCAGACGGGGCGGTGGCGGGCAGACAGAAGAGCGCATAAAGAAGCGCGGAGGTCTCCCACCGGCCAGGCGTGACCGAGGAGCGCGTCCCCGAGGGCGGCGAAGCCGTGGAGACGGGCAGAGCGATCGCGGTCAACGGCAAGCGGCCCCGGCCCCCCGCAGGACAACGGCTCGGGATCGGCAGCTGCAGCTGCGGGAGGGCGCGCTTGGAACAGCTCCGGCAACGCCGTGCCTGGGCCCGGCCTCCCATCGGCACGGGATGGCGGCGAAGGGGCCCGCCGAAAGAGCAGCGCCCCGGCCGCGCACGCCCGCCGGCCCGCCCGCCGGGCAGCGCGCAGCGGGAGCCCGGCCCGCCGGCTCCTTCGGGCCGGCCAGCAGGGGGCACCGCGAGCCGCGCGAGGGGCCGCCGCGTGCGGCGAAGGGCAAGCCCGAACC